AAGACTAGATTTATGGCCCAGGATGTGATCTATTCTGGAGAAGGTTCCGTGTGCACTTGAGAAAAAGGTGAAGTTGATTGTTTTGGGGTGAAACGTCCTATAGATGTCAATTAGGTCTACCTGGTCCATTGTGTCCGTTAAAGTTTGTGTTTCCTTGTTCATTTTCTGTTTAGTTGATCTATCCATAGTTGTGAGTGGGGTATTTTTCTCTTTTATGGAAAGAGAAATGGAAGTATAGTTTATTTATAATATTGTGTTAGTTTCAGGTGTACAACATGGTGACTCAGTTATATGCATATATATTCAATTTCACAAATAGGTTATTAGAGAATATTGAGTAGAGTTCCTGTGCTATAAATAGGTCCTTGTTAGTTATTTTGCATATAGTAGTGTGTATCTGTTAATCCCAAACTCCTAATTTATCCCTCCCTCACCTTTCTCTTTTGCTAAGCATAGGTTTATTTTCTGTCTGTGGATCTATTTCTGTTTTGCAAATACATTCATTTGTATTATTTGACAAATGAGTTTTTTACCTGGGTAACTCAAAGCTCTATCAAGACAGAATATTGGATGTCCCCGGTGGTCCGGTGGTTGAGAGTCTACCTGCCAATGCAGGGGACATGGGTTTGATTCCTGGTCCAGGAAGATTCCACATGCTGCAGGGCAATTGAGTCCTCAGGCCACAACTATGGAATCCCTTGCACCCTAGAGCCCATGTTTTGCGACAAGAGAAACCACTGCAGTGAGTTTAAGCCTGAACACAGCAAATAGAGAGTAACCCCCACCCTCAGCAACTAGGGAAAGCCCATGCACAGCAACAAAAACACAGTGCAGCCCAAAATAAATTAAAAAAAAATTCAAAAGAGAATATTGTTGTCACTCCCAAAATGTCCTTTATGCCCCTCTCTGGTCAATCTCTCCCAAAATGTCCTTTATGCCCTTCCTGGTCAATCTCCTAGCAGAAGCAGCCACTAATTTTTTCATCATAGATCAGTTTTGCCTGTTCTAGAGTTTCATGAACACAAAACAATGTGATATATGTACTCACATTTGTTTATTCATCTAATAGAAAATTTATTCAGCCCCCACCGTAAGTTCAGAGATACACATCTCATGTCTGTTCATGGGGAGTAATGGATGCTCCTGGACCGAGCAAAAGGCCAAAGATATTTCTAGCTGTGACTTGTGACCTCCTCCCCCACAATCACATTGTCACTGAGAGACCATAAACCTCTGGGCCTCACAAACAGAAATGCAGGCTGTGTGCCTTGCATTCCTCCCTGACCCCTCTCACCCATCCACATTGGCCCTGGAGGCCTCTCAGCAGCCCCACCCCCACCTCCACTCACTTCCCACACCTGAGCTCCATCTACACTTCTCTACACAGGTGTGCAAGAAGGTGTCACAATCTCAGCCCGGGCCTTGCCCAAGTGGGTAAAAGTACAGGTGGGTAGATGGCTGGAAGGAACTGGACAAGCAGAGGCAGCTTGATGTCTTTTGGTCCTGTGGCGGGGGTAGGGGGTGGAGACTAGGCAGGGGCTGAAAAATAAAGCACAAAGGGAGGAAACGCCACTGGTCCCTGAGCAATCTGGGCTGGACAGCCGAACAGCACTTACCTGGAGTCACAGGGACCCTGGGCATAATGGTTTTGCCCTCCAAGAAGGACCTCAAGATCTCCCTGGAAGTCTTTGCTATTTTCCAGTGGGCCCTTAGTGCCTTTGTTATCGGTGAGTCTTAGCCTTTGGCAAGGTGACCAGATGTCCTGGTTTGCCTGGGACTGCGAGGTTATAGGTTTTAGCGGAACCCTGGATGCTGAAACCAGGGTTGTCTCAGGTGAATAAGGACAGTTGTCCACCCCGGCCTCCAGCTTGACATGCTTGGACACAGTCCTTGTGGGATCTGCGAGTGTGCATGTGGGTGTGGGTGCAGGCTTGTGCAGGAATGTGTGTGCAGGTGTGTGTGAGCCACACTTGTGGCTGTTGTGTGTGGTGAGCCCTCCTGGGTCATCATTGGGTCCTGGAAGGCATGTTTGGGAAAGATGGGGAGCAGTTCCACTGAGGCCTGCCAAGGAAATGGGCTTAGCTATGACCTCAGGGACCTGAGCAGACCATCGGAGCAAGACAGTTGTCTTGGTGGCAGAGGGAGCTCTGAAAATCTCTTGTTTTAAAGAATTCATCCATTTATCCATTCATTTTTCACTCTACCCACCCTACAAATTCTTTGTGAAAGTTACTTAGTTGCTGGCCATGGTGCTATAGGTGCTGATGCAAACCATCCCTATGGAAAGGGGGCCTGGAACAAAATTCTCATTTTTAGGTGGTTTAGGTGAGTACTGGCTGGAAGCAAGGGGATGAACTAAATGCCCCTACTTGGAAGATATCTGAGAAGGAAGAATGCAGGTGGGCCTTGGGAGCTTGGGGCTTGCTGGTCAATAGGGAGAGTGGGCTAAAGAACAGAGACTGGGGGGCTCAGAGGCCTGCCGGGGGTGAGTACCAGGACCCCTGAATGCTAAGAGGAAAAAAAAAGCAGTGTTAACCTAGGAATGATGGGCAATCGGAGCTAGAAGAGGCCAGGAGAAAGGAATTCATATGTACCAGCTATTTACTTAGTGCCAGGCATTTTCATACCTGTGGTTTTATTTTAGCCTCCTGCCAGCCTTATAAGGCAGAAGCTATTATTGTGCATAATAATACACACTAATAGCTACACACAAACACACACAAAGATTGCACTTTTTACCCCCACACCAGGCACTGTTCTAAGCACCTAATGTGGCTAATCATCTCCATGGTACAGATGAAGGAGCTGAGGTACATGCCATCTGAATGGTCCATCCAAGATCGGACAGCTAGAAAATGGAGGAGCTGGCTTGTGCCTGAGTCCACAAGGGCCTGATTCTGGCCTATGAGCTGCTGTCCCTACCGCCTGCATCTCCTTATTTACTGCTGATTTGGAGGCTGGATATGGACATGGCTGTAGTGTACATGTTAGGCCAGAGAGGAAGGAGGAAGCTAGGCCTTCAGTGTGTGTACAAATTCCTGACTGAAAGTGGAGAAAAGTCTGCTCCAAATGACCTCTTATTGAGGACCAGGGCCCCAGCTGGGCCTCTCAATCTCCTTCCATGTGACGCAGTCCTTGGGGCCCTTTCCTCAGGGAGGGTTGAGACCCCTTTCTTGAGTTCTTGTCCTATCTCCGCAGACTTGCCTCGTTACCACCCCCTCCCCTCACTGCCACCATGTTCCCATGGCCTAGGAGCTGACACTATATTAGGGGAAGAAGTATGACTAGTATGGACAGCCCAGGCCAGGCTAGGGGATGGAACCTCTAGGCTGGTAGCTCCCCTTTCTCAGTCTAGTCCAGGATGTTACTCCTTAGAGGTAACCACTGTTAACAGTTTGTGTGTATGTAGCCAGAAATTGGGGCTTCCCTGATGGTTCAGTTTCTAAAGAATTCACCTGCAGTGCAGGAGACCTGGATTCAATCCCTGGGTTGGGAATATTCCCTGGAGGAGGGCATGGCAACCCACTCCGGTATTCTTGCCTGGAGAATCCCCATAAACAGAGGAGCCTACTGGGCTTCAGTCCATGGGGTCGCAAAGAGTCAGACAATGCTGAGTGACTAAGCACACAGCCAGAAATTATGGATATACATATGTGTGTGTGTATATATGTGTGTGTGTGTGTGTGTGTGTGTGTGTGTGTGTGAATAAAGGGGCTCTCCTGGTGGCTCATGGTAAAGAGTTCACCTGAAAGGCAGGAGACTGCCTGCAATGCAGGAGACTTGGGTTCGATCCATAGGTCAGGAAGATACCCTGGAGAAGGAAACGGCAACCCACTCCACTGTTCTTGCCTGGGAAATCCCATGAACAAAGGAGCCTGGTAGGCTACAGTCCATGGGATTGCAAGTCAGACACGACTTAGTGATTAAACCACCACCATCATTATGCCTGTACACACACACATATAGCCAAGAGGCAAAAAAACAGGGATGTGAAAAACTTAGTCTCTGAGTCAGACTGCCTGTTTTTGAAACACAGCTCTACTCCTTACCATCTGTATTCCTTGAGCAGTTTATCGATCCTCTCTGAGTCTTATTTTCTTCATTTGTAAAATGAGCATGTGAGAGTGGAATAATTGGACTGGCCCATGTATGCTATGGTAACCAACTAATGTGGAAATCTCAGTGGCTTAACTCAACAAATGATTATTTCCTGTTTACGTTAAACACCAAACACAGGTTGGTGGGAGTCTCTGCTCTCTGTGGATACAAATGTTCAGGCTGATGGAGACATGTCAAAACTGTGATGCTGAAAAATGTGGCTTCAGAGATGACCACTGAGTGAGCAGGAAAGGGAACAGGCCTCGTGCACACTCCTTTCTGCCACCACCAGAGTGACAGGTGTAAACAACAATGAGCCTTATTTTCAACTTTGTTAATTATAAAGTATTCTTATGTATTTATTAGCAATTAGCATCTGTTTCTCTGTTAATGGCTCATTCATGACTTTTGTCCATTTTTATATTAAATTTGAGTTGACTCTTAGAGGACATGTAAGAGATAGATGAAGAAGGAAGAGTGTTCAGGGCAGAGAGTGGGCAATAACTGAGATGAGGGGAGAGTGTAAAGCATTCAAGAAGCTGCCCGTGGTTAAGTAGGATGAGGGGGTAAGAGCCGCAGAACTGATGCTTAATATATATTGAATGAAAGGATGAAAAAGCGGGAGAGGGAAGACAGAGGAGACTGGCATAAGAGGCAGGGGACAGATTGTGCAGGGTTTGTCAATCATGGAATTGTTTGAACTTCTTCCTGAAGGCCATGGGAGCCAGGACTGGGTTGGACACAGGGCAATGGCATCAGATTGGTGGTTTTGAGAGATCATTACAGCTTTGGGCACCAAACTGATTATAGGAAGAGACTGTCACTCTAATTCAGGTCAGAGATTGTGGTGATTTGGCCCAGACCAGTCATAATTGTGAAGGGGAGAAGAGGGATACAATAAATTGGAGTAAAGTTCATAGGACTTGATGATCAAAAGATGTGGGAGAGAGAAAGGGAGGAGGCGAGACTGAGGGTTCAGGGATCCATGTGAGCTAGAGAAGGAGCAGGTGAAACAGAGAAGGAGGACAGTGGGTGAAAGCAGGGTGAAGACAGAGAGAAGTTTCCCAGAGGGCTCTTAATTAGAGCTTGACTTTGGGCTATATGGAGAGTTAGCCTGGGACAGATAGAAGAGTGTTGGGTCTGGGCTCCCGGGAGGTGATGGTTCCAGTGCTTGTCACTCGAAGCTTTCCCAGATGAAATATGCAATGGAATCATATCCATTTGGACCCTGATGGCCTTGAGACAAGACCATCACACGAAGTCTGTGAGGAAGATAAGGTGGAAGCTGGTGTTGCTAGCCCCACTTGGCCAGTGTGAAGCTCAAAGTCTTGTTTGTGGTCATACTCATGCTAAGGAGCAGGATTCGTGTCACCACCTGAAGCTGCACTGCCTCCCAAGATATCCCCAACACTGTCCGGGTTCAAGCAAAGCCTAAAAGAAACAAATCTCTTCTGGACTAGACCCATGCCTCTCTTTATTTCTTGAGAAAGTCAAGTAGTTTTGTAAGAAGCACATCAAAACCTGAAAGTTCTGGCCTTTGCTCCACACTTAGATATGTTCCCTAGAGGCAGCTATTCTCAAATTTGTTAGCTCTTTTTTTCTGGTATTTACCTCCATATGTCTAAACTTTACTATTTAAAATTTCTAAATATTACTATTTTCCAATGTAGCAATTTTAGACAATATCACTGACTTCCTAATATGGAACATTAGATTTCAGCTCAATATATGCCTTTTCCCCCACCCAAGTTGTTTTACTTAAACCCCAAACTATGACTAGTAAATCTTCTCCATAGTTGAGCTATTTAGTGCAGTATGATTATATTTCCTTTCTTGTGCAACTTCTTGTTTTCTCTGGAATTCATAATTGCTTCATTTTATTTTTTTACGTTTATTTTTTTCCCATTTCTTTAGAACGTTTTTTTTAATTTTATTTTTTTTCATTTATTTTTATTAGTTGGAGGCTAATTACTTTACAATATTGTAGTGGTTTTTGTCATACATTGACATGAATCAGCCATGCTTTATTTTTTATTTAAAAAGTTTGTTGGAGTATAGATGATTTACTATGTTTAGTTTCAGGTGTACAGCAAAGTGATTCAGTTATACATATACATATATTCATTCTTTTTCAGATTCATTTGCACATATAGGTTATTACAGAATATTGAGTAGAGTTCCATGTGGTATTCAGTAGATCCTTGTTGGTTATCTATTTTATATATAGTAGTGTATATATTAATCCCAAGGTCCTAATCTATCCATTCCCCTCATCCATATTTCTCCTTTGATCACCACAAGTTTGTTTTTGAAATCTGTGAGTCTGCCTTGTAAATAAATTGATTTATATCAGTTTTTAAAACTTAGGTTTTGCATATGAGTGATGTCATATGGTATTTGTCTTTGCGTGACTTCACTTAGTATGATAATCTCTAGGTCCTTCCATGTTGTTACAAATGGTATCATTTCATTCTTTTTATGACTCAGTAATATTCCATTCTATACATGTACCTCACTGTTGTTCTCCTTTCCTCTGTCAATGGACATTTAGGTTGCTTCCATGTCTTGCCTATTGTAAACAGTGCTGCAATGAACACTGAGGTGCATGTAACCTTTCAGACCATGTGTTTCTTCAGATGTATGCCCAGGAGTAGGATTGCTGGATCATATGACAGTTCTATTTTTAGTTTTTTAAGGAGCCTCCATACTATTCTCCATAGTGGTTGCACCAATTTACTTTCCCACCAACAGTGCAAAAGGGTTCCTTTTTCTCCACATCCTTTCTAGCATTTATTGTTCATAGATTTTTTGATGATGGCCATTCTGACTGGTGTGAGATGATACTTCACTGTAGTTTTGATTCGTATTTCTCTAATAATTAGTGATATTAAACATCTTTTCATGTGTTTTTTGGCCATCTGTATGTCTTCTTTGGAGAAATGTCTATTTAGATCTTCTGCCCATTTTTTGATTGGGTTAATTGCCTCATTTTAAATTTTAGTTATCTCTTAGTTATCTATCAGTTTTCAATAATTCATCCCCAAACTCTCCACGAACACGTCAGGAATCTACACGTCTCCTCTCCTTCACCACCACCATTTTTTATTTCCTTGAGGACCTCGCTGGTGGAGCCCAGCAGTCTCCTGTTACAGTCCAGTCTCATGCACCACTGTCACCTCCAGGGCCGGTGAGGCGCCCTGGGTGCACAATCTAAGAGGGTGTTCATTCTCAGCACTGTGCAAGTGTTGGGTCAGTATTTGCCTGACTCCGAGAGTGAATGTCTCCTTGAATTTTGTGCCCTAGGTGCCGCGCTCTCCTCACTCTATTCCTGGCCCTGCTCACTTCCTTCCTTTGCTGGATTTCTTTTTACCTGGCTCCCATGCTATCCTCTGTCTTGCTTTACTCCCTCATTTTCATGGAGCACATCCTCCAGTAGTTTCCTGAGAAAGGGATGTAGGAAACAAACTCTCTGACTATATGTCTGAAATTGTCTTTATTCTCTCTTCATACTTGATTAAAAATTTGGCTGCATATAGAATATCCTATCTGTGTCTAGTGTAAGTATCTGAGTCTAGAGTCTCTTTGGTTCATTTTATTTCAGAGAATAATCCTCCCATTGCCCAGCTATACAGTGAAGGAGAAGAGGTCTAGGGTTTTAACTACTCTTGATAGACTTTCCATCAGGCCCTGTTACATCTGCTTTTTGTAACACTTGGTGTTTCCAAATTCTGAGTCTTTCCTAGATTCGCCAGTGGAAACAGGCTTACTCTTGTAGACACTCCCGCTTGCAAGTCACTACATTTCAACTTTCTTGTTCTCAGTTAATCCCTCCTCTGCCCACTGTCCAGCACGCAAACATTTTGCTGATAGCTTTCAGTCACCTTTGGCATCTCTCTGATTCTCTTTTTCCTTGCAGAATCTCTATCTTTTAAAACATCCTTGTGATAATTTTCATGAGGCTGCAGCAAGGAGTCATGATAAAACTTGTGTTCATTCTGCCATGTTCAATTAGGAGTGTTTCATGTCTTTTCTAACCTTTCTTTTGACCCCCTTTCTCTACCTGTCTTATTCACAGTTATTAAAAAAAAAATGAGTCCAGTAAGAATCCTGAGCATGGCTCCCTGTGACTCATCTCCATGAAGTCTGTCCTAACTACTCTAACCTACATTGTTCCTATCTTGTTCGAGCTCAGCATGGTCCATACCATGTTCTGGTACATGCCAACTTGCATGCTCCCAACCTGGCTGAAGGTTAGTTATCCTCTTTCTCTGGCATTCTGTTCACCTTCTCAGAGATGATATGGAGATTTGGAGGAAGACTGTTCCTGGCTCTGTCTCTCCAGGACTCCTAAATTCTGGTGGCCAGATCAACGTGAGCCACCACTGGCTCCTTGCCATTGACTGCAGCCCAGAGTGCTGCTGGTGCAGGCCCTGGGGGGAGAGGGCTGACTGCATGGAGCACAGTGGGGGGGGTGGGGGAAACACCTTGTCTCCTAGACTCAAAACAAGTTCCCAAGGCTAGAGCAGATGCTGGGGCTCTGGGCACGTAGGCAATGTGCTGGGGTGAGGAGGTAAGAGGGTCGTGTGAGCCCGGCTGAGAGTGCTTGTGACCTTGGGGTAGACATAGCCCCAGAGGGAGGGCAAGTGTGAGGCACTGTTTGCAATTCATTGACTCTGGCCTGGGCTCCCTCCAGTAATCACCGTGATCGCTGTCAACCTCTACCTGGTGTTGTTCACGCCGTACTGGCCCATTACTGTGCTCATCCTCACCTGGCTGGCTTTTGACTGGAAGACCCCTGAGAGAGGTGAGGGCCCTGGAAGGGCTGTTGCCACTCGCCACATGCTCTTTCTTTCTCTCCTTATACTCCAGCCAATTCCCTGGCAGCCCTTCAGCCTGACCTTGTCTGGGCTGGAGGTGAGGGAAGGGGTCTTTTCAAGATGCTAGTGAGGCCCAGGTGGGAACTGGAGTGGGCTAGGGGAGGGGTGGCTAGTACAGCAGAGAGCTAGGGTGTCCCAAACAGGCCCTGAAGTTCATTCCCAGCCTGGTTGTCACTCAGGGAGCAGGAAACAGTAAGGGGTGAGGGCGCCCTGAGACAAGCCCTAAAGGACTCTGAAGAAAACAACAGGGTGGACAAAGCTCAGCTGTATCAGCTTTGTTTTCAGGTGGCCGCCGGTTTACCTGCGTGAGGCAATGGTGCCTGTGGAAACAGTACTGTGATTACTTCCCACTCAAGGTGAGGAGTCCCAGATCCCCACTTGGGCCCCAGGCCTGGTCCTGACTCCCTGTGGCAGCAGCTGGGTCAGGGCAGGGGGCAGGGGCATCATTCACATTGAGGCCCATGTGAATGAAGCTCCCCAGAGTTGTGTGTTACCCCACCTGCACAGCCAGACATGGCAGCCCTTTCCTTTCTAGGTCTCTGGCCGAAAGAGAGGAACTCTTCCTTGGCTATATCTCTCTTGACTCCACTTTCCTCCACAGCTTCTGAAGACTCATGATCTCTCCCCCAGCCTCAACTACATCGTCGCCTGCCACCCTCATGGGATCATGTCCCATTCATGGTTTGGCCACTTTGCCACAGAGATGTCAGGCTTCTCCAAGACGTTTCCTGGCATGACTCCTTATATCCTCACACTGGGGGCCTTTTTCTGGGTGCCTTTCCTCAGAGAATATGTCATGTCTGTAGGTGAGTTGGCTCCTGGGATGGAAAGCCGAAGAAATACATGGCTGCCTGAGAAAGAAGTATTGGGTGAATAGGTGAGAACAAGGCCGGCTCTGTGATCCCCTCTGGTCTGAAAAGCTACCTTAGGCTCAGCTGCCTAAGGGAGCCCTTCCCTAAGGAGGGTTCTCCTCACCTTAGAAGTAGGGAGGAAAGTTAGGAGGCTTAGTAGGCCACCAATGATCTTTTGGTTTTTCCTGACTACCAGGTGTCTGCTCTGTGAGCCAATCCTCCATGGACTTCCTGCTTACCCGTAGAGGCACAGGCAACATGCTGATGGTGGTGGTTGGTGGTCTGGCTGAGTGCAAATATGGCTTGCCTGGATCTACCACTTTGTTCCTGAAGAGCCGCACTGGCTTCGTACGCACAGCCCTTCGGCATGGGTAAGGACACTTCTGGTCCAGACTGGGGAAATGGGATCCAAAAGCCCAGCAGGGAAGGAGGAAGAGGTTTTGAGGAAATGATATTTAAAGAGGGAGGGGTAAAACCACTTCTGTGGTGGAGTAGAGGCTGGGTCAGGTTCTAGAGGCATTTTTGCTTCTGAAGAAAGGCCAGCAGGCCAGTCTGGAACCTGATCTGCCTCAGACTAGCATCTCATCTGGACCAGTCTCTCTATAAAAAGGTGACTGGCTGCAACTGTATGTCAGAGAAAGCCAAAATTCCCATGTGGGTGAAAGGGAAGAAACCAAGAAGAAATGGCCCTTGGCTCCTAGCTTCCAGTGTCTCAGACAATGTGGGTTTACAGGAGGGTCTGGGACTCACTGGGGCTTCCCTGGTGGCTCAGACGGTAAGGAATCTGCCTATGATATGGGAGACCTAGGTTCGATCCCTGGGTCAGGAAGATCCCCTGGAGAAGGGAATGGCAACCCATTCCGGTATTCTTGCCTGGAGAATCCCATGGACAGAGAAGCCCGGCAGGCTACAGTCCGTGGGATCACAAAGAGTTGGACATGACAGAGCGACTAACACAGACACAATGGGACTCGCTTCCCTTAGCTTGCAGGCAGCCTGGGGTAGACCACGCATTGATTCCACTTAGCTTGGACCTGGGCCCAGCTGGGTTAAGGGCTGAAGGAACTTACAAGGAGACCTAGGGAGCACTGGTAGTCAGCATGTCTCACTTTTGGTAGGGGCCCTACATTTCTAACCATCAGAGAATATGCTTTTCTTCTTCAGGGTGGCTCTAATCCCGGCCTACTCCTTTGGGGAGACAGAACTCTACAATCAGTACATTTTCACCCCGGGGGGCTTCATCAATCGCTTCCAAAAGTGGTTCCAGAGTATGGTGCACATCTACCCTTGTGCTTTCTATGGGCGTGGCTTCACTGAGAACTCCCTGGGCTTTCTGCCCTATGCTCGGCCTATTACCACCATTGGTAAGTGGGCTCTTCAGCTGGCAGCCATGTCTAGGACACAGGATCTGGTTCCAATACTAGACCTTGGCTCTGGCCGTGTTCAGAGGCAGGGAGGCTGGCCAGGATGTGCGTAGGGTGGGGGCAAGCATGGGGAGAACCTGGGCTGGAGGCCAATTCTGAGGAGCGAGCCACTCTGATGCTCTTTCCTTTAATTTCTCCATCTCCCCTGGCAGTTGGGAAGCCTCTACCACTGCCCAAGATTGAGAACCCAAGCCAGAAGACCGTGGCTAAATACCACGCAGTCTATGTGGATGCCCTGCGCCAACTGTTTGACCAGTACAAGACCAAGTTTGGCATCTCAGAGGCCCAAGAGCTGGTGGTAACTTGACAGGCATCCTCCATGGCCTTTCAGCCTGGTTGGAAGGTGTGGAACAGGTGAACAAGAGGACTTTTGTGTGACTCCTGCTCCTAACTTGGTCAGTGCTTGGAGTGACGGGTTTATGTGTGTGGGTACCTGTTTGGCTGTTTTCTGGATCCCTCTTCCTCCTTCATCTCTTTCCAGCTCTTCTCTGACTTTACCTTGCGGTTACAAGGAGATGACCCCAAAGGCCCTGGGGAGAGGTGATCTGAAACCTCCCTCACATGCACCCACTCAGCATCAGAACTGAGAAAAACAAGAGACAGAATAAAAAGCCTACCTCTGATACTGTCTGTGCCCCAACTAGCCTGTTCCCTAGGATCCCTGCTCTTGTCTCTTTCTCTTCAGCTCTTAAGTAGCCCCATCTTCTGGCATCAAGGCTTCTCCAGGACCGTCGGCCTTGAGATCCACTGGACTTTGAATTTAGGCCCCTCCACCTTCAAACCCTGTGACTTGAAACAATCAGTCTTCTCTGAGTCTGTTTCCTCATCTGTAAAATGAGACAAATAGTTCCTCCAGTGCTTACTTCAAAGATTGGTGGGATGATAATACTGAATGTGATTGAACTTTGTATACTGGAGAGCTACACAAAATTATTCTCCAACCATTTTGCCCACTTCTTATCACTGAACAAATAATGCCCTAAATGTCATGACATCTCAATGTTTAGAATAAAGTTTATCCAATTAAAAAAAATTCTAATCTATTTTTATTGTTACTTTTTTCAAGTTTTTCTATTTTATTTTTCATTTGTTTGCCCCTCAGCACTGACCCGCTCTCTGACTGGAGATCAAACCCATGCCCCCTGCACTGCAAGTGAGGAGTCTTAACCACTGGATAGCCAGGGAAATTCCTAATTTTTAAAGAAAGTTGACACTGTAGGATCTTGTGAATAGTTGTTTGAAAGTTTAAGTAACCTTTCTAGTTGGATGAGCTTGGGGAGCTACTTTAACTCTTTGTTGGTCTCATCTGCAAAATGAGTGATACGTCATGGGGAGCTGGAGGCTGGATCTACCCAAGCTGTTTTGGGCCCAGGACTGAAGAATGTTATAGAAGTCAGGGTCTCAAGCTGAGGGTGACTCCCCACTGTGTCTTCACTTCAGGAAAATGTTTGTTTTTGCAGGACCCCTAGCCTATTGGACATGTGGTTACAGGAAAAGACCCAGGTGATGGGGATGGGTACATGTGGGCTGGGGCACAGAGAGGATATGGGATGTTCTGACAGGAAACTCAGACCACCTTGCTTCTGCTGTCCCTTCTGAAATGGGTGCCTCGGTTCTTCCCCAAGTTCATGTGTGGTGTCAAAGAAGCATGTAGTGGAATTCACTGGTGGTCCAGTGGTTAGGATTCCGGGCTTTCAGGAACCTGCTGAGGTTCAGTCCTGGTCAGGGAACTAAGATCCCACAAGTCGCCCCAACCCCCCCCCCCAAAAGCACCTAGCAGGTAGGAAGTACTCAAGCTGATTTTAAGAACAAGGGGAAAAAGCTTTATTTGCAAAGAATAAACCATTAATTTATACAAACTTACATCCCGGTTTATATACATTATGTATAGTTTATATACACAGTATCTCACACTGGATGCTGATCCCCAAAGCAGCATTGGGCCTACTCCAGGCCATCCTCACCGTGTAGCCCTTCCCCTGTCCCAGCTGGAAGCTTTTTGACTGAAGAAATGACATATCCCAACTCCACTTGGAGAGAGACCCTAAAATGGATTACAAGGAAAAAATCCAGTTCCTTTTTTGTGCTCACACGGCCTAGGGAAGACTTCAGGCAGGGGTGGGTCCTGAGGTGGCCCCAGGACTCCCTGCATTTGGGCCTGTCCAGAGGCTTCCATCCTGAGGCAGAAGCTGGGGGAAGCGCCTTGGGGAAGGAAGCACTCTAACAAAGGCCGTGGCCATGCATTCCCTGCCTGACCAGGCTCCGGAAGGGGGCCAAGCACTTCCAGCCTTGAGTCTGTGGGTTGCAGAAAGAAGGGGGCTGTGTGGGACACAGACTGTGCCTCCCTCACCTTGCTGAGTCTGGAGGTTGGGGCCCCTTACCTCAGGAAGGTCGCCTTCCCTCTCTGGACCTCAGTTTCCACATGAGTAGGGTAGAAGGTAGGTTGGGCTAGATTACTTCTAAGGGTCTCTCGAGTTCTTAATTTCTCTGAATCTATTTGCATCCACCAGAAGATACATAAAACACACATATTCACACATGGCTCAAACTCTTAGTTCACCTTCAGGGTTCCTAGCCCTTTACTGCTCATCAAAAGAAATTTGGCTCAGGATGGATGAAGGGGGTTCCCAACAGCTGCCTTTTGTGCCAGCTTTGGCTGTTGGAGCCGGAGCAGCTGGCAAAGCCCCCACCATGCAATTCTCCTTCAAACCTCTGTCATCTACTTGCTCACAAACGTCCTCATCCCATCCTCTGTGCTAGCCTCAGCTTTCTAAAGCCATGTTGGTGTAATTCCAAGGGGGTGAATCTAGCTCCACATTCTCTTAAGGGTAAATGACTTCAATAACTTTGCAGCAACAGGGCTCCCCAGCTACCTCTTGCTTCCCTCATTACCCCTCTCCCTCCAGAGTTGCATTTGAAGGGTCACAATGAATAAGGGTCCTGTGTGAATCCTATTTTCCCTCTAATCCCCTCCATACCTGGAGAAGAGGGTTGGTGTCAGAATGCCCTTTAGTGGCACAATTAGTGCCCTCGTCTCACACCCTTTTGACTTTAGATCCAGACCTCTCTTGGGTTGTCTTTGCATCCCTGAGAGATCCTGGTAATACAGAGGTCTCTGTGGTATGGCAGAAAGAGATAAGGAGTCACTCTGTAGCTGTGGGAAGTGACCAGCTCCTGTAACTTGTCTGAAGGGTAACCAGAGGAAGCCCTTGTCCACAGGAGGGGCTCCATGCACAATGGTTGGTTCATTGGTTGGTTCTTTCATTGGATGAAAGAACACAAGGGGTATCTGTTCTGTGGGTACTGGAGGCCTGCTGCTTGGGCATGCTATCAAGACGATTCTTCTGAACACAAAAGCTCTAAGGCTGATGGGAGTTTCCCAAAGAAATGGCCTACTCTTTTGTCCCAGAGCCTTTGGCAGTCAAAAGAAAAGGCATTACCATCAAGGAATGAAAATGAGCCTCTCTGGGTTTCTCCCTAGGTCCCTCAAGGATTTGGGGTCCATATTACCATTTTGATTGGTTCTTTCTTGGATTCCAAATTCAAAACAATGCTGGGGAAGAACAGAAGAGCTTCACAGTCAGACCTGGTTGAAAGCCCCAGGTATGACTTAAGTTGGGTGAGATCCTGCTCAAAGCACTCAAACTCTGAGCCTCGTCTAAATGATGGGGTTGGTAATATTATCAATGGAGAAAGAGAAAATACAAACTTTAAGGAGAGGTTCTCATCAGATTCTGCTAACTGAGGACTGTCTAAGGCACTTTATAGGATCTGGGGTCAAACACATGCCTCAAGCTTGCCTCATCTGGGGTGGGAAGGCTATCATTAGCAGCCAGATAATGGTGGAATACCTAACTCCCTCTTGCTCTGATCCTTGAAGGGCCAAGCAGCATAGTTTCTTGGAAAAGGAAGGCACAGCAGGGAAATGAGTACCTGTTGTTCTTGGTGGATTTCAGCTGTCTGAAGGACCTTACTCCCTCTCTCTGCAAAAGGAAATTTGTTCTAGGAGTAAAAGTAGCAGATTCTACAAGACTGGCTGTCTCAGCTTTGGGCTACAGACCCAGCAACCAGACTGGGCCCAGACAGTTAGAAATAAGACCCTTGAATGATCCTATCATATGATTCGATGGGAAGCTTGAGGGTGGGGGAAAGGTGTCTTTGGGCCTGACTAAAGAGCCTGCCCATTGCCTAGACACTGCCTCCTCTTGAGTCTGGATTCAAGGAAGCAGCACTGGAATCTATGGAGACTCTTTTGTGCTGTGGTTTTCTGGAGCCAGAGAGAAGAAAGGGGGTGGTATGTGGTTAGTAGGGCATCAGTTGTCCTTTCAGATAAGGTCTGCGCTAATGACCACTTGGATTGCAATACACTTGAAGAAAATCCTGTCCCATCCCCAGCTCTTACCCTTTCTGGGTCTGATAGAAAAGCTCTGCCTTGCTGATGCCCAGGGTCAGTCTAAGGTTTGGGAATTTTAGTAGGCTAGCATGGCAGCTGCCTAGATACTATAATTTGAAGGCACTTTTGGAGGTCATCCAGTTCAACTCTTTGCCCCCAGACATAGCTCGACTAGATGAATATTTGTGCTGCTTAATACATGGACAACTTCCTTTGTGCCCAGGTAATCTAAAGAGTATCTCAGACTCACACAAACACAGGTCCCGGGATAGGCACCAGTCTCAGACAGAGGTAGGCTCTGGAGAGGAAAAAAATGGGAGTTCTCACCAGGCTGGGAAAGGGATAATTGTGCAGGGACCCGGGGAGTTTTCTGAGCTTGGAACACAGCTGTAAAAAGACATGTGGCCCCAAGCATGGCCTCTGGTTCTTATACAGGCAGGTGTATGGCCATGCCCTGCAATTACTTCAGGGAAATGCAAATCTTCTCTCCCCAAAGCCCTGCCAACTGCTGGCACATGGATCAGCAAGAGTGGGAAAACATCTGGCAGGCTTCTCCCCTGGTTTCTGCAACAACCACCTGCATTTCCCTCCTTGCCCCTCTCCTTAGGCTGCAATGTTACCATCCCACCCCAACCCTGTCCCCACACGCACCCTTCGAGGTCAAAGGCTTGCCCCACAATTTGGGCTGTACTGTTGCTACTTCTCGCCTGCTGCCCAAGCCCCTCACTTTAGTGCAACAGAGGCAGTCAGTGGGGAGCCAAGGAGGAAGGTTCTGCTTCATGCCAACCCTGAGGCTTCATCAACTGTCCTGTTCACTCCTGGTCAATATGGAAAGTCAAGTTGGCCTTGTCATCTTGGAATTACTGGGGAATAAATAGCACTGGGAAATTTTTCTCTGCGGCTGTGACACCCACATACCTCATTCCACAGCAGCACTTAGGAGGTTCTGGGAGTCCTAGCTCCCTAACCTGGGGTAGGGGCATGGGCAGGGGCAAAACGAGGTTGGAGGGATCTAGGATGCAGGGGCCTCGCCCAGCCTGATGGCCCCGAAGAAGGTGGTGTGCTTGCTCATGTTGATAGAGATGTCAGCGTGCACCATCTTCACGGCGATCTTCTGCCGGGCTTTGAGGAGGCAGACACCTGCTGTATAACAAGTGTTGTAGTTGGTTTTGCCTGTCTCAATACTGCGGGTGCACTGCAGGAAGGGTTTCTCGTCCACCACCACCTCATAGCTGGCAAAGTCAGTGAAGTTGATGTAGTATACCTGGGGGAGAGGCAACAAGAAGGGATTGGGGGCGAGCAGAAGGAGAGGGTGGGGCCCTCCCTGGTGACCAGTAGACAGGACCCACTCATGCGTGTTGCCACTGTGCCCTGTGAAGGGAACAGTGCCACCTGAAGACATGCTAGTCAGACAACAGGACAGGTGAGGTGACAGGTTTATTCACTGTCCTGCTTCCCCTCCATTGGGCTCAGGGGGCTGGAAACCTTCCTTTCGATAGCACATGGTGAGGGGAGACTCTGCAAGGGTCAGAGCCACGCCTCATTCACCCCTTTACCTCCCCTAGCTCCCTACCCCCGCCGGCTGCTCTCTTTGACCCTAGTGTGAAGCACAGTTCTCCTCACACACCAGGAGCTTGATCAGTGCTGCAGACACAAATGACTATGAATCAGTTTTCGATTTCTAGCCCCAGGAACTATTTGTAAGATAAACTTAGCCTCTTTTTTGGGGGAACCGGAGTGGGTTGCCATTCCCTTCTCCAGGAGATCTTCCTGAGCCAGGGATCGAACCCAGATCTCCCGCACTGTAGGTGGAAAGCTTAACCACCTGAGCTACCAGGGAAGTCTCTGTAGATAAACTTAGAAGTCATTGATTCCCCTAAGAGGGTGCAGGAACAATTTGTGGGTTCTTCAGTTCTTTCTGCTTGTAGCCCCCCTGCCCTGCTGCTGAATTTCTCTCTGATTCTCCCAGTGCCCCTTGGTTCTCTCATCTACTGATAGAAGAACAGGTCCAGAGAGATGGAGAGTGATCCGTCACAAATGAGACAAAGAATGTGGAAGGGCAAAACTAACTTTACTTGGTGAACAGAAGGAAGTGCTAAGCTGTGTTCAGTGGCATGACATCCAGGGGATTTTCCCAATTTGTGTGGGGTCCAAGGCTTGAGACCACCCCCCATTCTAACCCAGGGCAGGCCCAGAGAATTAATTTTTCTCTTCATCACCACCTTATCCATCACACCCCACCCCAAGCTTTGATCCCCACCCCACATCAAATGGCACTTAGGACAAATGTCCCATAGGACATTGGTATCATACCCCTGGGTTTTGGGACACCCATCTGTCACCCTAAATGACTTTAAGAAAGGTTGCTCCCTCCATAGTCTATTTAGGAGGCAGCAGCGCATTCAGGTGTTAGGACTTCCAAAAAATAAAGTAAATTCTATTTTTTAAAAATAAATTGAAAAAAATCTTTGGGTCAGGACCCAAGCTGTGTCAGGATGTTTGGTGGGCTCAGCAAATGCTCGAGGACCCATCTTCTCTGACTACTTTCCTGAGAGACCCTTCTGCCGGCTTTGTTGTCTTTCTGTCCATCTGCCTGCTTGCCCCTCACCCCACAGAAGCCCCAGCCTCAAGGCTCATTCACCTCTAGCTCTGAGGAGTCACACTATTGGAGACACACAACAAGGTGGAAGTGGATGGGCACTGGCTGACCTGGGGAGTGGGCCCTGGGCCGGGACAAGGACAAAAACAGAGGGAGAGAAGTGCTGGGACAGAAAAAAAGGGAGACTAAAGAAGCAAGAGTAACAGAGAAGCAGAAAGGTAGGGAAACAAATGGAAGAAAGAGAAAGGAAAGACAGAAATTTTTCTGAGGTAGAGAGAAGGTCCGGAAGAGCACTCTTCATTATAAAGCCAGTGGTGTGGGGAGGGACGGGTTCTCAGCAACCTTGGAACTGACTTTTAAAGAATATACTCAGACAGAGTTCGGTTTTGGCAGTAGAACCAAACAGCTCAGCGGGGAAGCTAGGGCCTGGGGCCCTGTAGGAGGGGATCAGATAGCAGGGTGTGGGAGGAGCCTCTTTTCAGTTTTCAATCATATCTGGCTAAGAAAAAAACCCCAAACAGCCCCTTCTGTCTCTCCTCCTCCTTTCAACTCCTTCCTTTCAACTCCCTCCCATAGTGGGTCTTCCCTCCAACCTCCCCCACCCAGGACTTCAGCCATTGGCTGGTCCGGGCAGGCTCCACAGTGCCCCTCTGTGGCATGCAAAGGATCTGCATTCTGGATATAAGAAGAGTTAGGCCTGAGACCGTACTCACTTCTACCTGACTATAGATGAAGTAGGTGCCGTCCACCAGTACCTCCAACTCCCCACTGCGGGGGTGTAGCTTAAACACCTTGGGGTTCATGGTGATGCGAGACCAGTCATTGAGTACTCCACCTGAAAGATCTCAGTATGAGAGAACGGCAGTCACTCAGTACATGTCAGAATCATCTGGGCAATAGAAACAACAAATATCAAGTTGTACACAACCCCCACCCCCATTGTGATATAACCCGAATAGCCCAGGAGGCCCAGCTTTAAGAAGAACATCCGGAAGCAGAGAAAGCATCTATTTGTAAATTGGCAGCCAGGCCTGCTTCAGGCCTCTGGGGTCTGCATGTCCTTTCTGTTTCCTTTTCTGACTTCTCTGTCTGGAAGGATCTTTAACCAACACCTTCCAACTGGAATTGGGGGTGGTTGGTAAGAAGAGGGTGGGCACGCTGCCCTATTTTCTTTGTTGTTCTGAGGCCTGCACAGGCAAAATCCAGACACTGAGGGGCAGGCTAGGTCTTATTATTCCATTTCATCTCACCAGCCATGGCTCCTGAATCCCTATTTCTCCTTGTCCTTAACAGATACCTTTTTATAGTTCCTCCACACTCATTTCTTTCTGGAAAGTCTCCATGGGCCCCCAGTAAACCACTTGGCCCAAGGATCTGTCTACCCAGAGAACTTTAGGGATCAGGGTGAAGTCAGACTTCATGGCAGTAAGACAAGGAACCACCAGTAATAAGGCCATGTAGGGCAGAGGGATCTTTATGAGAATGAGGGATCAACTGCCACACAGCCCTAGAACCAGTCAAATGGATGGAGAGGGTGTAAGAGCATGGAGGCACTGCCGCAAAGCATTTCTCATTAATACCCCATTGTGGGTGGAGAGGCATGTGAGGCAGGAAGAAGAGCTTCCCTTTCCACTCTGTAGCAAAGGGGATGTTCCTTCCCACCTCAAGAGGAGGGAGTCCAGGCTTGGGAGCCTTTTCCCTTCAAAACCACCCATTCTTAGAGATGCAGACATAGAGAACAGATTTGTGGACATGGGGGTGTTTGTGCAGTGGGGAAGGAGCGGGTGGGATAAATGGAGAGAATAGCATGGAAGAATATACACTACCATCTGTAAAATGGATAGCCAGTGGGAATCTGCTGTATGACTCAGGGAACTCAAACCAGGGCTCTGTGACAACTTAGAGGGGTGGGATGGGGTAGGAGGTAGGAAGGAGGTTCAAAAGGGAGGGGATATATGTATACCTATGGCTGATTCATGCTGATGTATGACAGAGACCGACACAATATTGTAAAGCAGTTATCCTTCAATTAAAAATAAATTTTTAAAAATCCATTCTTCATCCAAGAAAACAGGTTTTGAAAGTCCATCCTTGGCTAGTCTTGGGCAGTCTGCCTTTCCGAGGTGAGGAAAAGGTGCCCATCTTCCTTTGAGGTGATAAGCAGACGGGATAGGAGTTCAAAGGAGACGCCCTGGCTCTGTCCCTCACGGAGGACCACTCTGCAGGAAATCTTCCTACCCCTGACCCCTCACTCTTGCTTCTGCTGGAACTAAAGATCAGCATAGACTACTTGGGGGATTGGCCCAGAGGGGTCGGAACTAGTCTTGTTGTATGGTGGGAGCAAACTCAGTAGCTTCTGGCATAACACTGAGGCCACCCATCCAGACACCCAAACAAATCTATTTCCTGACTGCCTCACTCCTCCCTGGATAGATGGTGACCATGGCCTACCCAGCGTCCTGGGTCCCAAGGCACCTGGTCCCAGCAGGACAGTTTGGGTTTTAGTGCCATTGTGTTCTTAGTTATAGTTCTGAGGCAATTAAGTCAGGCATCCAGGTGGCAGTCTGAGAGGTAGCCAAGCCCAGTCATTAAGGAAGCAGAGCACAGCCAGTTCAGGACTGACTGTGTTCTTAGAAGCTGTCCCCATGCAGCAGGTTTCTGACCCTTCATTTACTGCTTCTGTACTCACAGCCCCTCCCTTCTACTCCAAGCTCTGTAAGCATCTGGCATCTTGGCTGGCTTGCTGCTTCCTGAGGCTCCTGGGGGTTCATGCATTTTAGGCTTTGTATACCCTGGGGACTGGACATTATTTCAAAGCATTGTTCTTTAATCAATGTTCATGTCTCTTTGGGGAAGAAAATGAAGCTAATCACTCAGTGGAGTATACACACACATCACTGAAGTAGCACAGTGCAGTGGAAAGAGTCAGAGAGATGTGGTTTTGAATCCCAGCTCCTACTCTTAAAGGAAATCTTGGGCCAGTTAATTAACCTTTCTGAGCTTCAGTTTCTGTCTCTGTAAAAAGGAGCTAATGCCTACCTTTGTTGTGAGGATCAAATCAAATCAAAGACAAAAAAAGTATGTAGAAAACTCTAAAGTACCATAGAAACAAAAGGCAGTAGACTTAGTATGGTGTTGTCCAATCTCTCTGGCACTCTGTTTCCTCACCTTTGAAATGCAGGCATTACATTAAAGTAGGATTTCTAACCTCCTTCAATCCACCCCCTTTTTTTGTAGACACTAGCATCTCATACTTCCTACAGAGTCTAACATGCCCCCCACTTCCCTGAAATGCCCCTCCACCCTAGACCCATCACACAAGAAGATTTGATTTTATGTATTTCTACTTTCTATAATTTGTATTGTGAAAATGTTGATCAGACTACACATATTCCCAATGGTGACTCTGATTCAGCCTCCACTTTCCAAGAATCCCTGGTTTAGACGATGTCTCAAGCCCCTTTCAACTTCTTTTTTTTTAATCTGTGATTCTAACTGCAATTTGTAGCAACCAGTCTGAGGGCAAGCAATTACTTGAAACAGCCAGCAGAGGGCAAAATGGAGTAGAGAATGGCTCCTAGTGTCAAGGGTACCTCCGAGGTCTGAGAGGAACTAGGCTGGGTGATTATTTGAAGGCTGTGGGTAAGGGTGGTGGGGGGAAAGGAAGAAACTCTTCTTAAGGAGAGAGCCTACTTTGACTCTTACCATTCTTGACTTGGATTGCTGACCCTTGGCCCTGTAGATGCACCACGGCTGGCTGGGAAGATGAGAAGAACAGAGAAAATAGTCATTGTGAGAAATGGCTGCTTGCTCAGCCACCAGTTGCCAGGATTCCACCTTCTAGTCTTCATTTGTATCCCAATTCTGACCCCTCTCCCCTGTCTTGGGATGTGAGTGGCCACATTTCTCCTAGAGGGTAATGTGATTTTATAGCTCTGCCAGACGTAATGCCTCTGAGCCTCATTTCCCTAACTGTGAAATGGGGATTCTGAGAATCTCTGTCTGGCCTCTCTCACAGAGATGTCTGAAGATCAACTGAGGTGACGAATATAAAATACCCTGCAAGCCATCCAGCACCGTGCAGCTGTGTAGATTGATTGCTGTGGCCAAACAGCTGTAGTGAAAGAAGCCGTGATGAGACAAGGCAAGGTGGTGGAAACTGCCAGTAGAGATGGATCAGGAAGCTCAGAGACTAGGGAGGAGCCCTTCAGGCCATGAAGGCAGAAGGCCAAGCTGGGCTTGACCTGGAACTGGTTGGCTGATTTTCGAGAACATATTCTTAAACTTCTAAGCTGCTGATGTCAGGTGGTTAGAGTGCCGACAAGGTGTCTGGTGTAGTCAGGGAGGCCCAGGACCAGGTGAATAGGCCTCACTGACAGCTCATGTCAGCTGACTATTGGGCTTGGCTGTGGTGACCCTCTGTCTCCTAAAAAATAGCCACAGCTCAGCTCTCTTGCTAAAAGCAGGCCCTGGGGCAAAGTTTTTCTATTCATGGGAGGGGGCTGTGAATGAAAAACCCCAGAACCTCCAGGGTCTCCTCACAAAAGAAAGCCTCAGCAAACTTAGCAGGGAGCAAACTCAAGGGTGGCTCAAGCCTGTGTCCTTCCCTCCTTCCCAGCAAGACAGCAATTCCCAGCCAACCTGGTTTTCTCGAGTTCCAGCTTTATCAGCAGCACCTGCAAAATAGGACAGGCCAGTCAGAGGGTATGCTCTGTCTACTTGCTTTTCTCTTCATCTAGGCAGCCAATGGCACTGAGCTTTTTGCTCCCTGTCTGAGCCAAGCCAGGCTCACTCTGAGCCTTTTGCAAAGCAGCATCTGAGCCTTATTTTCCAGGACTCAGAGCTGGAGGGAGAGTCAGGGTGTGATGCGGGGCTCAGGAGTGGGAGATGACACCCCTTTCTTCTCTGACTTGTCCCTGACCTGCATCTTCAGTGTGCCCAGCACCCAGCAGGAAACTGGCCTCTCGCCAACAATGGCCCAAGGCAAGTGCCACTGAGCACTCATGGTGACAGAGGAGAGTGCATTCCTGCCACCACGTGACCCCAAGACAATGGCGCTTGCTTCTTTAGCCTTTTGTTCTCTTTCTGTTACTTTTCTCTGTAGAATGCATTGCCATTTGTAAACATCTTGCTTCTTTAATTGTCACTCTCATCCTGTACAACATAAATTCCACGAGAACAGGAACCACTAATCAATATATCTCTTGCACATAGAAAGTACGCAATGAATATTTGTAGAAAGATTGGATGAAAAAAAAATTACAAACTGCATCTCTTGGGGCCACAATGACACTGATTAGCCCTGTTTGCACTACCAGTCAAAGAATATGAGTCTTGTGGCAGTATTCTTGGACCCAGAGAAATTAGTTGTGAAGAGTCCATTTCTGTAAAAGCCCCAAGACACAAGAGGGGAGCAGGAGAAAGAAATAGCAACTGACCTAAGCCCAGGCAGTCTGACTCCTGTCAACTCTGATTAGGCAGGTTTGGATCTGCATCAATAACTTTGGGATGGCCTTCTGGGCCCAAGGGGAAAGATGCAAAGAGATTAAATGCTATTCAAATGGGCAACGTGGTAGGGGAAGGATGTGGCACAATAAGCACTTGGTTCCTCAACAGGTTGGTCTTGGTGCCTGTGTCTGCTTCTTCCACAGCCTGAATGACTCATAAGTTTCCAACTCCTTGATTATCAGTGACTACTGGTCTACCTCTATGGGAAAGGCATTTCAGAGTTCATGGGATGAGACTACTCTAGGGCTTGTCATTCTGTCCAGCCCCCAACATTCCTCTCCATGTTGTTGTTATCATTTAGTCACTAAGTTGTGTCTGACTCTTTGTGACCCCATGAACTGTAGCCCACTGGGCTCCTCTGTCTGTGGGATATCCCAGGCAAGAATACTGGAATGGGTTACCACTTCCATCTCTAAGGGATCTTCCCGGGCCAGGGCTCAAACCTGCATCTCCTGCATTGGCAGGTGAGCTCTTTACCTTGGAGCCACTAGGGAAGCCCATTCCTCCCTTTTGCCTTTTTCTAATCAAACATCAGTATGTGAAGCTAGATGCTGGAAATCAGAGGAGATAAAATCCACAGGTCAAGAACAGGTATCTCTTCCTTGACAGGGTGGTATAAATACGAAGTTAGAGCAAGGCAGGCCCTACTGACTTGTTCAATTTCTAACTCTCCACCGAGCTAGGAGACCACACGCCATCAGTTGTGTCCGACTCTTTGCGACCCTGAGGACTGTAGCCCACCAGGCTCCTCTGTCCATGGGATTCTCCAGGCAAGAATACTGGAGTGGGTTGCCATGCCTTCCTCCAGGGAATCTTCCTGACCCAGGAATCAAACCAGTGTCTCTTACGTCTTCTGCATTGGCAGGCAGATTCTTTACCATTAGCACCTCCTGGGACGCTCCATAAATAAGAAGTTAGAGAAGGGCAGGCTCTACTGGCTTGTCCAATTCCTAGCTCTCCACTGAGCAAGGAGACCACACACCATCATTTTAAACTGCCCTTGGGATCACCTGTTCCTGTTCTATTAAAGAACTTTTAAGGAGCCTAGGACAGTGGAGAGATGGAAGAACTCACCAGAAGGTCCTTGGAGGCCAGGGGGTCCTTGAGGACCAGGAGGACCTGGAGGGCCGGGTGGTCCCATAACAGTTGTTCCTGGAATCCCAGGAATCCCTGGAATCCCTGGGGGTCCTTGGGGTCCAGGAGGTCCTGGAGGTCCTGGGGGGCCATTGGGTCCAGGAGGTCCTGCCTTCTTTCCTGAAAGATGAGATTCGGTATCACATTTATAATTATTGACTGAGAGTGTACTGTCAGGAGTCCCACAGCGTTCTCATGACACAAAGTTGGCCCTCTGGGAGTTCCTGCTCTTAAAGAGGTGGATACTTTTATCACACATCACACACACACACACTTTGTGTTTCATGAATCAGCATTTACAGGCTGGGTTTGAAGAAATAATGACCCTCAAGGAACTTGGTCTCATGTGGAAATAGACACAGTCACAGGACAGTAGAAGTGTTGCATTAACTGTAGGGACAAAATGCTGGAGAGGTCAGGGAAGGCTTAAAAAAGGAGGTTACAGTTTGGCTAAGTCCAAAGGATCAGAATCACCAAGTGGGTAGACCTTAAAAAGTGGGCAACTTTTTAGAATTGAGAACTGGGCTATTGTTGCAGAGCGTGGCTCTCATGTTTACTATCCAGGTTGGTGGACTTGATGTGGATGAGACAAGCAAGCTAGGAGGCCAGCTTGACCTTAGGAAGACTATCAGCTCCAGGAAGGCTTCCTGTAGGAGTCAGGATGTACAGGGACTTGAACTTGGGATGAAGGCTGGAAAGCAGAATTGGAAGGAGTCTGGGAAGATGAGAGGTGGTTGGGGGAGGGGGAGGGAGGAGAGAAGGAGAGAGAGAGAAGGCTCAAGTAACATAAGGAAAGAAGGGGTGGTGGAGACCAGAGAGAGCTGAGCTGTGGAGGAAGCAGCAGGCAGGTTTTGCTTTCTCAGCTGACCTCTCTAAACCCTATTTTTAAAGAGCTCTGGGAAAGGAAATTCTGCAGAATCCCTTGGTAGCATGTTCCAATGTTTATCCCCCCCTCACTGTTAGGAAGTTCTTCTGAAATTCCTCCTGTGGAAGTTTAAGCTCTTATTCTATTGTTTGTATAGATAGAAAAGAATAGTTGCCATCATACACACAATAACCCTAATGTGCTCAAGGACATTAAGTCACCTATCAACTTCTATGTTTATAGGCTAAATAATCTAGCTTCCCAGAGTCTTCTTTCCTCAGAGGCCCTATTCTTGAATGTATTATTAATCAAGCCACCAGATCCTCCCCATTTCCTCCTTGCTCTCTTTTCAGAGCAGTCTCAGCCTTCCTATTCCACATTCCAGTCCTTCCCATATTCCCACCAGATCTATGTTAACCAAGTCCTAACTGTGGCCTTCAACTGAAAGCTCCAGTCCTTCCTGTTTACCTCCTCACTCTGTGCAGTCCAATTCAAGAACTGCAGGTGGTCACAGGAGGGCAGCTGCTTCCTCACTTCCCTGCCTTTTCACAGTCTTGTGGAAGTCCCAGGAATGGGAACCTTTCCCCAGCCTCCATCATGGTGTCTTCACTTGTGATACTTTCTTCCTTTTGAAATATAACCCTGTCAAGTCTCACTTAAATACCTCTTTCCTGACACTGCCTTCTGGCTTCCTGGACTTGCAGGCTGGAGAATCCTGTTCTGATTCATCAGGTTCTCTTTTAAGGAGAATGCCTTGCTCAAGAAACCCAATCCCCATGGCAACGCCACTCAAGAGGTCAGTTGTCCTTGTCTAACCACATCTGCATTTACAATGAAACAACAGGGTCATTGTGGGGCCCCTTCCCCAGGGAGGAAAATAAGGAAAGTACAGAGAGCTTTTCTCCCAGGGAGAGGCAGGAATTTTAGCATTTTCCCTGCACTTAGCAGCAAAAGATTCAATCTGCCCAGTTACGAGATCTAGCCAATTTTAAGATGCTGAACAGGAAAGCCATCTCCCTTCAGATTTGGGCAGGTTCCAAGTCAGGCTTATTCAGTGCCCAAGTTTCAATTCCACCTAGTGTAGTGGAAAAAACAGGGAGGGAATCTGTAGCTGGGAGATAAGTCTGTAAGCCTCAGCTCTGCCATGGACATATACTTTGGGCAAATTCCTTCTTCTCCCTGAGCCTCAGTTTCTCCATCAGTGAAACGAGGAGCTTGGCTTCGATGATTTCTCTAAGTTTCCTCGCAAGACTGAGGTTCCGTAAGGAGGACTGACTTACCCCTGATAGTCAGGAGACTTCCCTAGTTTGATTATAAAGTCTGCTTCTCTCTCATTCTTTTATGGGTGGCACAGACACATGGGATGGTGCATAGTAGGCTGTCTCCTGTCCCAGAATTTCCAGGCCTAACAGTGATTTTTGAGCTAGAAGGGGATCTGTGGGTAGTGTGAACTTCAGTATCAAGACTATGAGTCTCCTGTGATTATTAATGTAATTTTGGAAGAATCAGAGCCAGAAACTCCTCCAGTGAAAGAGAATACTGGTTGCAGTGTAAACAGAGAATGTTCACTTATGAAAATGCTAGAAGGAATCTGGGAAATAGCTCCTGCTGGGATCTAGTTCTGCAGCTGGTGGTCTTTGCTTCCGTGCAACCAGGTTTAGGCAAGTGCGCTTCTCATCTTTGCATCCTTATAGAAAATTGGCCCAGAGAGAAGCATGCACAAAATGACCCCTGGACTAAGACGATGACTTTAGAGTATTGCATTCCTTCTCTGGATTTCCTTACTTTAACAGAGCACTTCATGATGCAAAAGCCCAGAGACTTTTGTATGTATAAAGTTACTCTGTGTAGTCTTAGATGGAAGAATACACACATTTTTTTAGTGACACTCAAATTGTTGACATAATGAACTAAGAGGGGGGAGAGATATGGGAGGGGGAAAATTCCATTAAAGGATGGACATGAAATGAACAAATCAATTTACCCCTTTAGGCATGTGCCTACTCATTGTATCCAAGGAAATCTGTATTAAATGGCTTCTAAATCACTTTTAGCCAAGGCAAATGTTTAAGGCCTATGTGCATTCTATTCCCAATAATGGCCCACGTACCAGGTAGTAGTGCTGGGCAGCGATTCGAGTCACTGCCAGAAGCATTGGGATCTCCTGAGTTTGTAATTCCAGTGCTTCTCACCTAGACAATTGCCTTCTATTACCACTGCCAAGCGTGTTCTCTCGGGGTCATCCCTTGGATGACACTGAAGCGGGTGCTGTTCCCCACCATACACATGCCTTGTAATTGGGTAAATCACTAGCCTACTTGCTGTTCCCCCAGATATGATGTGTTCTTTCAAGCCTTTGAGACCTGCCAGTTCTCTGCTAGAATGTTCTTCCCCCTTTTTCCCCCTCACCCTTCAAAGTCCAGGTTAGATAATATTTTCTCTGAGATGTGGTACCTCACTCCCCAGGGAGAACTACTTGTTCTTTCTCTGTGCTCTCCCAGCACCCTGCTCATGCTTCTATGATTGAATTTTTAAATACTATAATGCAATTATTTGTGTGTTCTTCCATGATTCCAACTACACTGGAAGATTTTGGAGGGCAGAAACCATTTATCTTCATCTCTGTATCTCAGCTGATGCTTATTCACTGTCTAGTGAATGAGTGAGTAGGAAAAAAACCCCTAATAGCTATCATTACAAAGTACTCTTGAGGCTACCTATTAAGAAAAAAAGAAGTCACCCCTGGACTCGTGTTAGGGGCAGAGGGTGTCATTGTCCAGGCCAGGGGAGCTTTCTAGGTTTGTTAAAATTTCTGTCTTAAAGGGATTTGACAAGAACAGAAAACTGCACACTTGAAAGTCAAATTTACTTTCTTAAAAGACAGAATAGCTCGGTGAATGCCGAGGCCCCACAGAGAAATGTTTCTTCACTGACTCCAGTTCTCTGACTGTTTCCCAATTTTGCTCGCTCAGGTCCTCAGGGGCCAGGCCATTCCTCAGCCTCTATCCAATAGGGACACAAGTTTCCCATGTGATCCATGGCACCTCAAGCCACTGGAGTACCCTACTGCTCAGAGAAACGACAGGAGGCAGCTGAAGCCAATGTTTTGGGTCTAATCTGGGGTTGATAATATATTCTATAAAGCTCCAGAAGTGTTAACAGACAGAATTATTTCTCTTAGAATACTTTAATGAAAAATCATAAATTTCACTCTATTTTCCTCCCAGGTCAGAACACAAAAACAAATAGGTACTTAAAACTGGTTTCAAGGTTGGGTTTCTTAGTCTTAAGGAGTGAACCATATTGCCTGGTCCTGTCTTTTGGAACCTATCTATTGTTGGGTTCCTCTTTTCAAGAAGGCAAGCTCTTGTACAAACTCATGGGTCATTCCCATTGCAAGTACACTGGAGACTTACAGACCCAGCAATAGTACAATGGATGCGCTCAACTAGAAGCTTCTTGGAAAAGACTAAAAGGTCAGGGTACTACTAAAGCCAAGTTTTTCCATCATAAAGAATATACTGAAACGCCAGAGCAAGAAATACCTTCCCTGACTACTTGAGAAATAGGCGAGGGATAGCTTTTAGGCCAAAAAAGAGGGTACGGACATCTCTCAGGACATCATTCATACCTGGTCATTGATTTGATAAAGGAGGGGAAAAAAAGGAGAAAAGAGAAGGTCAGGGGAAAGAGTAAGGAAGAATGAAGGAAAGAGAGGTAAATGAATTGTATGGAAGAGGGAGCAAGAAAGAAAAGCAAAAACAACTTTCATAAGTTGCTAAGAAGCAATTCTATCTTTAATAGAGCATCACTGAAAAATGATAGATATTTCTTATTCCCTGGAAGCTATAGTACTCAAGAAGATCACATGTGACTGAGTAAAACAATGGACAAACAGCACTGAAAGAGTATAAAAATCCTTCTCCCTTGATTTTTTTCTTCTAATTTTAGAAAAGACACGACGGCAATTTTACAAAATCTAGAGATTGACTTACCCTTTTTCTTGTTTTTAACAGGACCTATTAAAAAGAAAAAATGGAAATTTAAGTCACTTCAAATTAACAGACAGTGTGTATTCTTCAAGATGTTCACAGGAGGAACCACTAAGAAATTGCAAATTTGAGGGAGCCCCAAGCTGAGGGTCAGGTTATTGGCAAGGCATCTAACAACTACCAGACCTCCCCAATCTGTCTCTGACTGTTGTAACAATAAAGTTACAAGGAAGAATCTTAATCCTAGGGAGAAAATTTTTCAGGCTTAATCTTTGGAGTGAGGGAATGAATACTTCTCCATAAAAATGAAATGTCCAGAAATGCAGACCTCAACAACCTTAGGACGGCATTCCATTAATTATGCAAGTCCTGAGACACACATTCAGGTCAGGAACTGATATGAAATCTCGTGTTGAAGCTTGAAGGAAAAAAGGGTCATTTTCATGGAAGGAGCAGAGCAGTAGCAGTTTACTTTTTAGTCCCTTCCTTGCCGTTATTTAAATTGTTAGTTATTCAAGTAGTGCAGCCATAATACATTCACATGGGGGCCACATGAACTCCTACTGTAATTTATCATAAGTTAACAGACACTTTAAAAGAAGTGTCAACAGTTTCACCAACAATGAAATCACAAGCAAACAATTCTAATCAATTGAGGGCACTCAGAAAACCCAAAGCTTTTCTCATATAGTTAGGTAACAATCACTCCTCAGACATTACACAGTTTAGCTGTCTCCAGATGTGCAGGCACGTTTTTCCCTACTGAGGACACAATTCACTTCATTCTGTAGGGGGATTTCACTTTCTTTAGATGCAGGTATTTGAAATCTGTTCCAAACTCCCATGAAGACCCTACTGGACCACATTAAACCCCTGTCAGTGCCCTCAGGAGCTCACAAGAAGAACATCAAGCATTTGTTGTATATTGTTTTATAGACTATAAAACATATTTCCATCTGCCATCTCATTTTATTCTTGCAACAAGCCTGAATGGTCTTTACTAGTAAGAGCTCACTCTATCAAAGATTCTGTCTAAGCAGACTCAATCAGAAGTAAGTAAAGTCTCTTAACTTGGAGGGCTGCCAGTATGGCCATCAGTCCCTTGAAAACCAATGTCTCTGTAGACTTTCCTGGCAAAATAATTTCATGTGCAACTGTAGGTATTATCATGTGCAGGGAAATGTTTATGGTTGGGTTTAGCAACGTGGTGCATTTAAGGTCATGATCCTCCATTCTTCTATCCTCATTTCTTCTCTCTCTCCTCCCAGTTTCTTTACTGCCTATCTTTTATGTTTTCAACAGCACTGAGATTGTACACAGAGGTTCTGGCAAGGAAGCACAGCTAGACAGATATTACTAAATAAGAGGCAGCTTGAGAAGGGCCACCTTCTTGAACAAGAAAGCTTTTTGGGGAAGGATTTACACAGAAAGGCCTAATCCCATCAACCAGCTACCAGCTAACCAGTTGGTTACCTCAGCCTGGGAGAGCAGTGAGACAACAGCCATTGCAGACACTGCCCTCAGACAGATTGTGTTAGCTCTGGCCAAACTTCTGACCATTTTGGCTGGTTAAAAGGTTACTACTGTTACACTGTGGGCTTCCCTGATAGCTCAGTTGGTAAAGAATCCACCTGCAATGCAGGAGACCCCACTACAATTCCTGGGTGGAGAAGAGCCACCGGAGAAGGGAGAGGCTACCCACTCTAGTTGTTGGGCTTCCCTTGTGGCTCAGCCAGTAAAGAATCCATCTGCAATGCGGGAGACCTGGGTTCAATCCCTGGGTTTGGAAGATCCCCTGGAGAAGGGAACAGCTACCTACTCCAGTATTCTGGCCTGGAGAATTCCATGGACTGTATAATCCATGGGGTTGCCAAGAGTCGGACACGACTGAGCAACTTTAACTCCACTGTTATATCAGACTTTGAAGCAGGCTTTGAGAAAATGATCACCATGCAACCAGTCCTTACTGAGCATGCCTAGGAAAGAAGAACAGTAAATAATGAAACAAGTCTATTCTCAGAGAACTTACAGTTGAATGGGAAAGTACTAAAAGGGGGAGACTTAAGGAATTATACTGGTTAATTGAGGGAAAAAAAATTCCTGGAGGAAGTTTGACCATACAAGAAAAAGGAGGGAAAGGGAAGTGAAGAATTTTTCATTAACTTCTATTATTTTTATACCAGAAATACCTACTTATTACACATACATAAATTCATGCACATACACATACATACAAAAGAGGAGCAAAAAGGAAAAAATAGCTTTAAAAAACTACTCACAAACAACCCCTATTAACACTTTATGCATATCTAGAAATTTTCTATGCATATAAATAGGTATTTTCACAAAATGGGATCTTGTTGCTTGATACCTTTCTTCTATGTCAGTAACTACATTTCTAAATTGTCATTTTAAATTTGGATACATCAGTATTACATAGGTAACTCTTTGCATTTTTTCTGGTTCTTTCATGATTTCATTTTTTTTCCATTTATTTTTATTAGTTGGAGGCTAATTACTTTACAATATTGTAGTGCTTTTTGTCATACGTTGACCTGAATCAGCCATGGATTTACATGTGTTCCCCATCCCGTTCCCCCCTCCCACCTCCCTCTTGTGATTTCATTTTTTATATTTAAATCTTTAATTAATCTGGTATAGATTTGGTATATTATGTGAGGTAAGTTCAGTTCAGTTCAGTCACTAAGTCGTGTCCGACTCTTTGTGACCCCATGGACTGCAGCATGCCTGGCCTCCCTGTCCATCACCAACTCCCAGAATTTACTCAAACTCATATCCATTAAGTCCATGATGCCATCCAACCATCTCATCTTCTGTCATCCCCTTATCCTCCCACCTTCAATCTTTCCCAGCATCAGGGTCTTTTCAAATGAGTCAGTTCTTCACATCAGGTGGCCAAAGTATTGGAGTTTCAGCTTCAACATCAGTCCTTACAGTGAATATTCAGGACTGATTTCCTTGAGGATGGACTGGTTGGATCTCCTTGCAGTCCAAGGGACTCTCAAGAATCTTCTCTAACACCACAGTTCAAAAGCATCAATTCTTCAGCGCTCAGCTTTCTTTATAGGCCAACTCTCACATCCATACATGATTACTGAAAAAACCATAGCCTTGACTAGATGGACCTTTCCTGACAAAGTAATGTCTCTGCTTTTTAATATGCTGTCTAGGTTGGTCATAACTTTTCTTCCAAGGAGTAAGCATCTTTTAATTTCATGGCTGCAGTCACCATTTGCAGTGATTTTGGAGCCCCTCAAAATAAAGTCGGCCACTGTTTCCATTGTTTCCCCATCTATTTGCCATGGAGTGATGGGATAAAATCTTTATTTTTATTTTCTGAAATGGCTATGGTGTGAAGAGGGCTGAGAGCTACAGGCGCTCAAGGCCCATCTTCCACTTGCTTCTGTCTGCTCAGTGTACATTTGGCATATCCCTTGAAAAAAGTGAGGATGAAAAAGTATAGACAAGATTATCGTTAGATTGTATCATTCTTTCCATAGGTGCTAGTGAGTACATCATTCAACAATATAGGAAGGAGTTCCATCTTTTTCTAACATAGCTCACCATAGCCAGTAAATAATTCTTATGAGTTTCAACATGGTCCTATAAGTCCTGGTTCATTTTTTAAAATTTAAAAAAATATTTAATTGGAGGAAAATTGCTTCACAATGTTGTATTGGTTTCTGCCACACAACAATGAAAATCAGCCTAATTATACATGTATCACCTCCCTCTTGAGCCTCCCTCCCCTCCCCCGAAGTTCTGGTTCTATATCAACCATTCTCATTTCTTTTGCTCGAGGTCATTGTGGTTTTCCATCTTCTAGAGAGAAAATACCAGAGAGCTAGAACTATTTCATGTTAGATATGAATACCTTGACCTAGAGCAAAAGCAGTAACCTCTGCTCATTTCTATATCTTCTTAGATATGTTGACTTATTTTCTCTATATGCTTCAGAACCTTTTACATGCCTACTCAGAGCAGTACTGGTGTCACATGTCTGTTTCCATGGTAGCAGGCTACATTTCTCTATCATTCTAATACCCTTTATTTGGAACCATCATGGTTTCTGCAGGCAAAATCCACAAATACATCAGAGTGGGACAGACAGGTATGCAGTCTCTGAGATTGCTTTTATAGGAGTAAATTTGAGATTTGACAGGTTTTGATTAATGTGGGCAAGCTATTTGCTCTGATATTAAGAAAACGGGAGTCTTGTAACCGCATCAGGGCCATGGAAGCTGGCAGCAGTCCTAGCCTGAGTCTGGTTTTGACTCAATCACAAACAGATTATAAGGCAAGTGTTCCATTTTCTTCTGATTCTTTAACATCTAAGTTAGGGAATACTTTGTACACTTTGTCTCTATTCAAGCCTAGGATTCTGATGAAGATAAAATGACATTATAATTAAAGTTAACATTTATTGAATATATATGAGCCATGCACTGTGCTAGATGCTTAGCATATCTCATTTAGGTCTTATAACAATCCAAAGTAGGCATTATTATGCTTATTTTATAGATGAAGAGATGGACTAAATTAATTGCACAAAGTCACACAGCTTCTACATATTTTCAGGTAGGTTGAAACTTCAGAAAGATTCATGTTTTTCTAGATGTGCTTTGAAGTTAAAAAAATAAACGTATATACTTCCAATTTCTGGTTTCACACATCAAGTTCTTGGAAGCCATCACTCTCATACTCACAATAAGAAAAATGCTGAACAAACTTAAAATCACTTCTTAGATCCATCAGAGAAGTGAGGTCACAAGGCAAACTGCTGTTCTATAAGATGGAGAGACAGACCAGTGGATAGAGACTTATAGCTGACTAGGAATAGAAGCCTGCACCTGAAGTCAGTATCAGTAACAACACTTTAAAACTATAATCAAAAGATTGCTAGATTCTCAGTGTGGACCAAGTAGATCAAGGGATAAAAGTCCTCAGAAGGTTCAATCTTATGGGGTTCCCCACACTTTCATGTGTTTTACGTTCAAGAGCATTAC